TGCTCTCATTGCCCTCTGGGCTCTGCCTGGCCCTGGCTGGGCCCCACCAGAGCAGGTGGCCGCCCGACCTGGCCTGGTCCTCTGTCTGGGCCTCCTCTAGGCCCCTCCCTGTGGGCTCAGGAGGGTGGGGGTGTCTGCAGGGACGCTGACTCAGATGTTATTTTGGGCTCCCCTTGGGCCCGGCAAGCTCTGGGGCCTCAGGCCTGTTTAGACGGCTGGGCCGGATGTGACCAACTCCAGGCACTCGGTTCTCCACAGCGCTGGGGGAGAGTCAGGCCAAGGCAAATGCCGGCTGGGCAGGGGTCAGGCAGGAAGGACAGGCCTGGCAGGTCAGGGGATCCAAAGGGTCAATGAGGCCCTGCTCACCTCAGACCTTGTTCTTAGCTCCAGGGGCTCCAGCCGAGGCCCTGGGCTGGGGGGCAGGTGCGCCAGTCCTTGAGAGGTCGTAGTCTGGTAGAGTCACGGTCTCAGAATCCCCCAAAGTAGGATGCGAGTCAGAGCAGCCGGGCCTCAGAGGCCATGGCCTTGACGCCCCTCACATAGATATACACCTGTGCGCCAATGGTAGGGGTCGGTGGCCCATCCCAGTCTGGGGCTCTGACCGGGCCCCTCCCCGGTTAGAGGATCTGAGCAGATCTGAGAAGCTGCTCAGATGAAAGCCAAGAGGCAGGTGCCCCATGGGCCCTGGGCAAGCTCCTCCCCACAGCAGGCCCCAGCTTTTTTGCCGGTGGAAAGAGGTGTTGGTTTCACCACCCTTTGGATCCTGGCAGCCGGTTAATTGGTGAGCCAGGACAACCCCAGGTCTGCGGTTCTGATGTGGCCTTCCAGACAGGCGCAGCTGGTGCCTCTTTCCCTGAAGTCATCCGTCCTCAGCCCCTGCCCCGGGCCCTAGCCCGGAAATGTCTAAGGAAACATGAAAATCCTTGAGCTCTGTCCACCATGTCCAAATTGAAAGCAGAAGAGCCTGGAACTCGGCTGTTAACTCCCGCAGAGCAGGTGACCAGCCTAGGGCTGCGGCCGGGGGCCCAGGTGGCCCTCGGGGCCGCCCGCTCTGGGGGCTCCATTGCTGGCACGATCAGGACCGGTTGGCGGGTGGGTGCGCAGTGTCAGCCAACCTCACACCTGGGCCCAGGGACACAAAGACCTGTTGCCTCGACGGGAGGACTTCTGGAGGGAGGGTTGGCTACTGCGGAGCTACTGGGTCACTGACGCTCCAGCCGCCCCGGGGAACCAGGGAAGCACCCCCCCCACACACACACACCCTGGAATGTTCCAGAGCCACCGGAGGGCTGGGCCCAGGTTCCCCACTGGAGAGGGGAAGAATGCAGTGCTCCCCACCCCCCCCTTACCTTGATCGGTCACCTGCAGCACAAGGCCAGGGACCAAGGTGAGATGAGAGAGGGCCGGAGGCGAAGAAGAAGCTGGGGAATGGTCAGAGGGGGCATCCCAGGCCCTGTAGCTGGCTTCTGGGCTCAAAGCAGGAGGAAGGAGGAAGCTCTTGCAGGCGAGTGGCCAGCAGGAACACAGGCTGTGTCCCTGCCATGAGGTGTGGGCGTGGGGATACTGGTGGGGCCCTTTCTGTGCTGTTGGTATGAGCTGTCTAGGCCAAGACTCAAAGTTTCTAACTCTAGACCCTTTGGAGTTGGAAGGCCCTGAGGGAGCCCATTGTATGGAAGCTAAGACTGAGGCTTGCAGAGCTGCGTGGCTTGCCCAAAGTCAGTGCGCGTGGCTAGTAGGGAAACCAGCGTCCACGTCTCTGTCTCCCAGACTCAAAGACAGTGCTTGGCCAAGCAGGGCCTGGGTGTGGGTAGGGGCAGTTGACCTCCATTCTCAGCAAACTGCCCCCTATGGAAACCTGATCCCAACCCCAGAGATATTCCCACCAGCCATCCGGGCAGGTGGTGGAGATGGGTGGCCTTCCAGGGCCCGGAGGGGGCCCTTTGGACTGAGGACACGGCTGGCCCAGGCAGCTCAGCGTCCCGGCAGCCGCCCAAGTATGTGGACGGCAGTGTGGACAGTGTTCCTGCCACGTTCCCAGAGCACGCACCAAGGAAAACATGGAATGTTTCTTGGATGACACAGTCTCCATCCAAAGTCATGCATTCCTGTGGGAGGGCAGTGAGGAGGGGTCGTGGTTGTCTGCAGGGGCGAGGGCCCTGCCTCAGCACGCACAGTCCTGTCTGCAGACGTGGGTCCCCAGGTTGTTGTGCCCACGGCCAAGGGAATCTGTGCTGGACGCAGCGGCGGGCGGCCGTGCCATCGGCATGAGCCTGTGGTGTCTACATTGTCAGTCAGCAGACACCGGCCTTCTGCGTATGGCTGACAGCCTGGTTCTGCTCCGGGGCGCTCAGCTGTACATCGCCCTGCCCCACGTGGACAACTAGTATGCCCCTGCCTATGTGTATCTTCGGCTCTGAGCAGGTAGCAGGTGCAGCCCTTGACCTTGCCCACACTGACTTTCCCTCGTTCCTGTGTCCTGACCGGGCCCCTGCTGGTAGGTCCTGTGCCCATTCCGAGGCCGGGTGTGTCCTCAACCTGTTCTGGACACAGGGCCAGGGAGTCAACCAGCTTGGGCTCGACCACTGTTTGAGCTGGGCTTGGATGCTATGTACCCCTGCCCCCACCTCTAGCCTCAGGCTCCCCCTCTCTCAGCAGTCCTGGGCATTCCCTTCACATGACCACTGTGATCAGGATGGAGGGCAATGGGCCAGGACTGGGTTGTGCGGGACCATGGAGAGTGGGCAGTTGAGGGGGTTTTGATGGAGACCCCATCCTTTCTGTGTTCCAGGGCAGGGGCTTCTTCACAAAAGGAGGGAGGCTCTGGCCTTGACCTTAGAGATTCTGAGTCCTGGACAGCCCAAGGTGGATGTTGGGGACCCAGAGAGGGCACACAGGAGGCATCTACCGTCGAGAAGCCCTGTCAAAGGAGGTACACTCTGACCAAGAGGGCTGGGATGACGTTGGGGGGCTGGGGAAGCTGAGGGATGTGCTTTCTCTACCTTTGAGCTGCAGTGATGACTCGGAAAGAGCGGACCTTATGAGATGGGTTTTGAGGGTTGAATAGGAGTTTGCCAGCAGATTAGCGTGGAGGATTTTAGAGCTAAGGCATCATGGGTGCCAAGGCCCCAAGGTGTCAAGAAGTGTGGGCATACCCTGAGAAATGCAGGAGGTCGGGAAAGCTGAGCTTGAGAAGGGCCATGATGAGCCACGAGGGAGGGGAGCCTAATGTGGTCTGGGGGCAGTGATGAAGAAAAGCCTGGAGTCAGGGAAAATTCTGGAGCAGGTTTGCCTTGAGAGAGAAAGCAGAGTTGGGCAGGGTTCAATGATGCCGGAGAATCTAAGTGGGAGGGATGGGGATGGTCTGAGTGGTGGCGTGGAGGTGGCAGCATGGGGAAGGACGAGGGGTTCAGGCCGTCTGGTGGGGAAAGCAAGGCCAGGCCCTGGAAGGTCCTGATGTTTCCTCCCATCCAAGATGGCTGCCCCGTCCTGCCCCAGTCTGGGCGTCTCTGGCTGGAACAGGGAAACTGGGGTGCCCCCGCACTATGGTTTACATCACTCACATACTTCTGGGCTCTTATCTGCGAGGGTCTGTCGTGCGTGCCCACCTTGCCAAGTGGCCCCATCACTGCCGGCCTCATAAATCAGGCCTGTTTCTCTCCAACACCTCCCTGCTCCCACCACACCCTCCTGGTGCTGCCTGCGCCGCCCTGAGTTCCAGCCAGCTGGGGAGGCAGAGAGGGGCCCAGAGGCAAGACTCGGCCCTGCCCAGGAGCTCCTGCTTTGCAGGGAGGATGTCCTGGGTGACCTGGTTTTCAGGAAGCATTCCCAAAGATCTCCAAAGACTGTTCCCGTGGCCGCCCTGCTTCCCGGCTCCTGGGGGGTGGTGGTCGTCAAGCCTGTCACTCCCTGTGGGGGCCTGACCCAGGGTAGGGTCAGGAGCAGGCAGATCCTACTTGCCACTCTCAGGAGGCTGGAAACCAGCCTTCTTAGAAACTCCTAGGACTGTCTATACTCCACACGAATTAGAGCCCCCGTCGCTGCTCTTTAGGGCCTCATGTCCCCTGTCTGTAAAATGGGTACATTCACTCCTTAATTCAACAAACACTTACTGTGTGCCAGGCCCTGGGTATGGAGATAAACCAAGCAGAGCCTCAGCCCTAGTCCAGCAAGGAGACTATTGCAGCGGAGGAATGGGGTGCTCTGAGGTGAGCATGGGGCAGTGAGAGCCCGGAGGAGGCACTGATCCTGACTTGGCAATCCAAGAAGGCTTCCTGGAGGAGAAGACCTTCTAGCCCCGTCTTCAAGGACAAAGAGAAGTTTGCTAGTTCAAAAGGAGAGAGGGGGCATTGCAATCGGGGTGACCACCATTCAGAAAGCACAGAAGCAAGACGGAGCAGGCTAGGCTTGGGGTGGGGAGCTTGCAAGCTGGGGGGGGGTGCTGGATCCTGCCAGGCATGGATGGAATGCCAGACTGAGGAGTTTGACCGTCTTCACGGAGGTCACTGGGAGCCATGCAAGGGTCGTAGCGGGGGCAGCATGATCAGATTTGCATCCTGGATTGACCCTCGGGCCCTTGTCTCCTCCGTGCAGAACGTCACACCAGTGGTACTGAGAAAGGGGCTTCGGGGTCCAGGTGGTTTCGCCAAGGAGGCATCACTCGATCTGGGCCTCCAAGGAGAAGGAACTCTGCACAGTGGCATCCGGCCCACACCTGTGTCCCCACGGCTGGCACAGACTCAGGGCTTGAGAAGGGAGCAGGCAGAGGGGGATGTGTCCCTTCTTGGAAAGATGGACGGTTTGGGTCTCCCGCTGTGCCTAGGCCATGCCCCATCCACACCGGCTCTGCTGGCCCAAGGCCTGCAGGGCCGCGGCTCAGGAGGCTCATCTTCCTGGCCCCAAGGCGACTGTTTGCCCCCAGCACCTGCACCTACCTTGCTTTCCCACCAGGCGTTTCTAGAAAGGGCTGGGCAAGGCTTGGGTCCCATCCCTCTGGTCTCTGATTTTTTTTTTTTTTTGAGTTTAAATGCATTTTATTTTTAGACAACCTACATGACATGTTTTTTTCTTAAAAACAATGCCTCCGCTCCAAATAAATCAGGGTCAAAACAAATGAAGAGCTCAAGATGCCATCAGTCCCATCTGTCTAAGTCCTGGTGTCGTGTGGATGAAGAGGAGCAGCCCGTTACGGCAACAGGTGACACATCCAAAGTCATGGCCCAATTCGTTAACATCTCTCCATTTCTAAACCATCCTTAAAGAAAATCATATATGGGGTCACACCATCCTCACGGTAGTCCAGCAGAGCAACCATGCCATCTGGATTCATGTTTTCACCAATAAAGAACTGGTAGTTTTTGAAATTAGCAAGGATGTGCTTGATTTGTTCTGCAGCCCCTGTCATAGAAGGCTTTACTCTTTCTGGCCTCTGTTCTTCAAGTTTGCCTTTGATTGATTTCATGTAATCTTTGATGTACTTCTTGTAGGCTTCTTTTGTGAAGCTGGTTTCCTTCCCCTCCACCTCCAGGCACAGCCTGTCGGCCATCTCCCGGATCTTGTAGATGTCGGAGAACATCTCATCGTGGCTGATGAGGTCCCGGTAGATGATCATGACCACGGCTGGAGAGAGACGACAGCGGCACTACCTTAGCAGAAGCCGGGAGCTCTGAGCGAGCGCGGTGCAGCCGGAGCGGCACTCGGGGGGGAGGGGAGGGCGGAGCGGGCGGAAAAGGCCCTGGTCTCTGATTCTTAAGCTGCCCAGCGTCGAAGGTGTCCCTCTTGGAGCTCAGCAAATGCCCCCAGGGCCACCCCGGACTCTGGGAGGACCACAGCTGCAGTGGGCCTGAGGCATTTATTCTCTGGAAAAATCTCCTTCTAGGCTCTTCTTCCCAGCGGTGGCACCGGCAGCTGGGGTCAGGGCAGAAGGAGGGTGGGGCAGGCTGTTGCCCGCATCAGCCCCAGAGAGGGCTTCTCGTGGCTGGGAGAGCAGGGACTGGAAAGGGTGTTTCAAGAAGTTTTCGGCGGGCGGCGGGGGGGCCCTGGCCGAGTTCTGTGGGCCGACTGCGTGCTCTCAACACAAATGTGAATCTTCACAAACAACGCATTTGTTCAAAAGTGAGTCGCAGTGTTTTACGATATACACATGTATGAGCATGTACGTGTGTGTGTGTCTACAAACCTTTCTCTTTTGGTCACAGCAGTATATCCGGGACAATCTGACTAATGCCTTCTCTCCCGTGCCGTGGGGTTCAGTGCTTGGGTGGGGGGAGGGAGGGAAGTATGGACTACGCAGTGGGTGCCCCTGCCCCTGCTCACCCTGGACAGAGACCCACAGACTGTAGCCCCCTCTCATCGTTGCCGGCTGGCCAAAGGAGGCAGACCAGGCTGCAAGCCCCTCGGGGCCCAGCGGTGCACCCCCGAACAGATAATTAAGTAAGCCGGTGGCCCGGCTTGCAGAGCGCTGCCCAGCGCTGGTTGGGCTGCCTGGAGGCGGGCTGGAGGACGGTTGTCCCAGTTATCAGGGACCTTCTGGAAAAGAGCAGTTGGTTCAGCTGGCGTAGACTCAGGGACAAGGCAAAGGGGGACAGATGGTCGGACATTTGCACACACACATGGACACAGATACACGTGGACACACGTGCACAGCTCGGCCCCAGACATCCAGACACACACTTGTCGTGCTGTTGAGGGGCACTCATCCCACCTTAACTCGGGGAGCCTTGGGGACAGGGCTGGTGCCAGTGTTGGGGGGCCCTTTGTTGGATGACCAAAGGGTTGAGGCGCAGATACCCAGTGTATCCCAGGGAGACCCCCGGGCGGAGTACAGACACACCCTGGGGAGGGCAGACGCATCCCGTCTGGTTCTCGGTGGCTTCTCGGGCTGGCTGTGTCTTGGCTGGAAGGTCTGGCTGCAAAGAACTATTGGAACAGCCAGAGAGGATTCTGGGAGGAGCAGCTTATTAGGTGGGTACGGATAGAGTCCCACACTGGAGGTCTCAAGTTAGGACCCTCTGTTCCACTAGGGTGGCGCAAGTGTCCCTGTGCCCTGCCACCTCCTGATGACCTGAGCCTTTCACCTCCCTCAGCCCTGGCACCTGGCCGGGGTCCTTCAGGGGCCTGCTCTGCTTGGGCGGTGGCAACTCTGCCAGCAACCCCTGACCTCTCCCTGCCCCTCCGCGACCCCTCCACTGTCTCCTGCCTCCCACCCACTTTGCATCCCAGCCCTGACCTCACGTCTGCAGGGCTGCGGGCGGGGGCGAGATAAGGCGGGTGTTGCACGCTGCTCCCTCCTGAGGACCGGCGGGAAGGGCGGGCCGGGCTGCCAGCCTCAAGAGCGCCCATGACTCACCAGGTGGGCAGGGCTGAGGCCGGCATCCGGGAGGAAATGCCACTTCCTCTGGATAAGGCTGCAGGCCCTCCGGTTTTGCCTTATGGTGTGTGCATTTGGGGTTTTGTTTCAAGAAGTCCTGCCACTCCTGTGTGACAAACATATTCTCCCAACAGTTTATTCTAGCAAATTCAGAGTCTTGCTTTTCATATTTAGGTCTGGCTTTAATCCCTTTGGAGACATTTTTTTAGGAGATAGTAAGTAGAGATCCAGTGGCAATTTTTCTCCATCGAGTGAGCCCATTTCTTCAACCCTACTAAGCCCTCCATCCTTTCTCCTTGGACCTGTGGTGTGTTCAACTCTTTTCGAACTTAGTGATCTGCTCTGCCACCCACCTGGCTGTTTCTGAACCCAGACCCTATTGCTTTCCTTCCTTCCCACGGCTTCGTGGCATGTGCTCACGGCAGGCCGGGCAAGGCCTCACCTCTTGGTTCTATTTTTCAAAGTCGGCTAGCCATTTACAAATCTTTATTCTTCTATATATTTTAGAGTAAGCTTATCAAGTTCCTCAAAAATATCCAGCTGGAATTCAGGACTCCAATGTGGCAGACAGGAGGAGGAGGATATTTGTGCCTTTTAAGCAACAAGGGACTGAAGTTCTAGAATATACACGAGATGCCCATGGAGCAAGGAGAGAAAGACAGCAGCCCCTATTAAAAAATGGGCTAAGGGTATGAATTGGCAATTTGCAGAAGAGGAAATGGAAACAACCAGAGTACAGAAGTGACTCAAACTCACTTAAAACCAGAGAAGTGCAAATTAAAAAACAATAATAAGATACTGCTTATCACCCATCAGGCCACCAGGCAGTACAGAGGTAGGTACTGGCCAGCACTGGGAGGATGTGGGCAGGAGCGCCTCCCCAGGTGCCCATCACTGGGGTGTGGGTGTAAAACCTGGCCACGCCCACCCCAGGGCGCCACGTGGCAGTCACACACGAAGCCACAAGCCTTGTGGAAGACAAGACTAGGTTGTCGGATCCTAAAAACAGAGCGTGGCTGGAAAAAATAAGAAAGAAATATGAAGCCCCTAGCCCAATTCCACTCACATAAATAATGCCCCCTCCCAAACGGCGATACACATTTACAAAAAAATGAGGTCAAATTCACACAGCATGACATTGACCCCGTTGGAAAGCATTCAGCCTGGCGGCATTGGGTCTGGTTGCGATGTGGTGCAGCCACCAGATCTTTCCAGGTCCAAGACGTGCCATTCCCCAAGAGGAAACCCCATGCCAGTTTCATCTTCAAGAATACACACGAATAAAAACACATGCATGAGAACGTTGCCGGAAGGGGCAGGAACAGGGCTGAAAGGAACAGGTCCATGAAGCCCCCGGGGCACAGGGAGTATGGCTGATGGGACAGTAACAACGTTGAGTGCTAATTTACCATGGTGCTCATTCTGTAATGCACGTACCCATCATTGTGCACCTGAACTAATACAATACCGTATGTCAATTATTCTTCAATTTAAAAAAATTTAAATCAATCCATCAATCAATCAATCCTCTGGGCTTTGAGGGCCAAAAAGAGATTTAAAAATAACATATACACAGGAGGTCGGATTTCCTCTCCTCCAGGCACCCAGGGGTCAGAGACTCTGGAAAGACCCTGGGACCCCAAAGGAGCATCTCCCATCCCGTCTCGACTCCTGGCACACGGCAGGAGCCCAGGGTGAAGGTGGTAATTAATTGGGCCTGGGAAGGGGATAGTGGGGAGGAAGCAGGCACTGTCAGGCAGGGGCTGAGAGGTGGACCCCTTGGCAGGTGCACAGGGTGGTGTTGTTGGGGTACGAGGGGTGGGAACCTGAGGGCTGTTTTGGCCGACACTCTCTGCTGATCCCTGGACTAGGCAGAGCAAGGCTCCATTTTCTGAGCAAGAAACCCAGACATGAGGTTTGCCAGAAGCCTCTTTGTTTTTCTGGATTTGAGAATTTATTTATATGAAAAGTCTTACCAAGGTATAAACATTCTGGGCCTTTGCACATGCTATGGACTTAGCTGGAATGTTCCCTTCAAGCCCCCTCCCACTGGGTGTCCTCCTGGTGAACTTCAGCCACCCCTGGGGGCACCTCCTTCAGGAACTTTCTCTGACCCATGTCCTTCCCTGCACCCCAAGGTGCTCAGTCCCTCCTGGGGGGACCCACAGCCCCTCACGTGATGATCACGTGATGAAACCCACGTCGGTGCTCCCTCCACCCCCACTTGGAGGCATTTCTCCGGGGCAGGAGATTGCTTTGTTTTACTTTCCCAGGGGCCTGGCACCCCATGGGGCTCAGAAACGTCAGATGCATGGATAACCAGTAGATGTTTGGTTTCACCTGCCTGTGTTCATGGCCAGGGTGGGGGCTGTCTTCCCAGCACCAAGTCATTGGGGTTTGAATCAAAGTGGTCTCCAGGCCCCTGCTCTCCTCCCCAGGAGGCTGGGGTAAGCTTATTCTGTACTGCCAGAGACTCAGTGTTCTGGGCTTGTGACAGGGAGCCCTGGCCTCTGGGGTGCTGGGCATTCACTGTGTGTGGGTCGTCAAGACCCAAGCCTCCAGAAGGCAGAGGGGAGACTGGGCAAATCAAGCTCCCATGTTGGGGGTGCTTTGTGAAGGTCCCGGGGCTCTTCCTTCCATCTCAGCTGCCCTTGGTCGGCTAGAAGGATGGGGGCACCATGGGTAGCCTACTCCCCACCCTCCTGAGGCCAGATGGGGGCTGGTGTCGTTGCGTCTCAGCAATGGGACCCCTTTCAGGCCCTCCACGGACCTCTGGGAACTCTCCCTGAGGATGTAACCTCAGCTTCAGAGGTTTGTCTCCAAGTAGGTTTGCTCTTCCCAGACAAGGGGTCTTGTCTGGGCCAGTCTGGGGGACTTTTGTTTAAGCCCCTGGTTTGGGAACATGAGGGAGAGAAGGGACTTTTTTTGTTGTTGTTAATGCATGTACTTTGGTTTTCTGTGCAACCAGCTCCCAAAGTCACTGCTCCCCTCCTCGCTTGGCAGGGCTGCCCGCCTCGTGCTGTTGACCTTGGCTGTGGGTTTGTGGGGGCTGGAGCTCTCACACCATAAATTCCTGTCTTCTAGGAATCCAGCCTGGGAAAAAAAGGAAACACGGAGGAGAATATTTGATTAACATTTTTCCAACGTGACCACATCACAGAGACATGTGGCCAGAATTCTCACCCTGGACTGGGCAGGGCACCACTCGGCTCGTGCCCAGCTGTGGGGAGGGTGGGCTGAGCTGGGGGCCCTCCTGGCCCGAAGGAAGAGTA